TCAAAGTGAACTAAAGGAAAATATACTAATGTTCTATAACACCAACAAAAAGAAACGATAGGATATAAAAAATAAATATTAATAACGATTAGACCTTATCTTGTAAGTCTTATATAAGAACAGATCATCTGTCTGAATAACTTACGTGCAGGAATCCCTTTCCAGTGAGTATTCAGTGATAATTGATCATTTTTCATTATTAATGTCATGGGATAAAGACGATTGTTACCCATCAGTTTGCAACCTGCCATTACAATGGAGCCACTCATCAGTACACATAAATTACCGATTGATACAGGAGCTAGTTTAAAAATACGTTGTTCGAAACTGTGACCCTGAAGAGATTCAGAAAAGCAATTTTGTGTGGAAGTAAATAACAAAAAACTTATGTATTACCTGTATCTGTGTACGCACATTAAATCGAACATCATCTTCAATAGTCATCAAATGATAATCGGTAATACTGGATATATCAAGTATTATAGTATTCTCACCAATAAGAGCACCGTATGCTCGAAATAGTCGAATGAGCCACTGCGTATTACCAAGAAATGGACAAATAAATTGTTTATGATCTTGACTCATTCTTGCTATCATTTGTTCTATGATTTGATAACGTATATATGAACGGCATCGATAGAGGCCACAGACAAGCATTGTATGAATGATTGATCCACCAACGAGACCACCAAATGAATAAATGCATAATAAAAGACATTTGCTGACATAATGAGACAAACATGTACGCCAAAATGGTATGACTTCGATCTGATCTTGTACTTTTGACCTTACAGGCATCTGAAATGGCATTATACGAGCTGGAACACCAATGAAAACTTCTCCGTCTTTGCTGTTTGTCTCTCGTGAGACACGTGTTAAATTGCCAATCATTGTCTCATATTCAAAGCAACTGCCAGGCAAGATTGAACATCCATTGGCAAGGTTCGTATGAGATCCAAGTATTATTTGATCTACATGATGATGACCTGAGAGTGTCAACTCAGTAGGAACTATTAAGACTCCACCAAAAGCAGTGGCACCTGTTTTAAGTTTCAACAGATTTGTTGGACATAATAGAAAAGTGTCTATCTGAGCGAGTTTGACATTCTCTTCGATATGAGCACCTAACCAACGGAGAACATAAGGATAAAGATAATCGTAGCCAGTCGGTAATAGCCAAGCATGATGAAAACTAGATACAATTAATTGACGAAGCCATGTTTTTTGTAAATATAACCTAGATGCTATCGGATATATTTCACCAGCAGCACAGGGTCCTACTATGACTTTCAAGAGGAGAAGCGAAATAAAACAACCAATAATTGACCATAGAGTCCAACAAAAAGCAATACTAAACAGTAGTGGTATTTGTCTAACTGAACAAACTTTATATACTATGATCAAAAGTGTATAATGAATACAGATTATCGAGATGATTACAATAATTTGGTAGATCTTATGCCATATCGATAATGATCTATTACTTTGCATAATGGATATGTTTGAAGAAAGGAATTGATGTTCTTCACCATCGACAATCGTTTCAGATCCGACGAAGCCAGTGACCGATGACATTGGTTGAACCATAATATTATTTTGCATATCAATTCCATCAAATAGAACCGATCGTGTACCTATTGAGCAATTAGATCCAATTATAATTGGACTCAGTTTGAAAGTGTTATCATCATTAAAATATAAACAGTTCAGATACGTTTCATTAGCGATCCAACTCCCATCATCAATTTCTAACAACGATGGAGCATCGATAATTGTGGTATAAATATGTGTATTGAGGCTAATTCGTGCACCACAAAGACGAAGGTAATAGTTGTAGAGTGGTGTGCCAAGTATATGCTTCAACCAAAATATATTATTATTCCACAATCGATCCAAAAACCACCATCGATAATAATTCCAAGAGAAAAGATTATCAGATTTGATGTAGCATGGTGAGAATAGACGTGAGCAGATGACATAGAATAAAAGATGAAATGCTGGTAAGATTGGAAAAAGAAGTGGATACCATTGATGGATTATCATGATTGGCAATAACGATTGACAAACAAGAAGTGCAATACCTAAAGATTCTATAACAAATGAAGGTGCGAGACGATCATGCGTTTCATGAAACTCATTGACTGTGAGAATTGTCTCTTGTGCTTTTTCGAAAACTATAGTGAAAACAATTAAAAGTACGAGTTGAGGGTGTGTTCACAATAAGTTTTATTCTAATAATATAAGAAGGAGTTATAATGTGCTATTACATATGAACATAGAGCATGACTAGGAGCATCTAATAACATGAACCAATACAATATAGAACAAACACAGAAAAAAAAGAAGCAGAAAAAAGAAAGGTAATATATGCCCTGCCAGAGTGAAATTCATCCTATATAAAACAGATAATACAATACAAATGAAAGTAGTTAATGAAAGGTAATTATATGTCTATAGAGTACTGTAGACTTTATTGTATTTTTTCAATATTTGCTTCTATTGTATTGTAAGTCTTCCAGTACTCAACCTTTTTCCACCACGACCATTACCACCAACAGATGAATTCTGTACGTCATAATATAGGAAAGAAAGCATAATATAGAAAGTTATCCCGGAATATGTTAGCACATAGTCATCTGTACATGTACCATATAAGAAATATATTAAACAATAAACAGTGGTCAAATGAAAATCAAGTTTGTAATAAACTCTGGAAATCCATATATTTAAAATGATACAGCGATAGTGCACTAGTGCATGGAGATGAAAACCCAATATATACACTATAGATAGAGAACTACTATACCATTGCAATAGTAGAGTTATGACCAGTCCATCTCAGTCTATAGTATATGAAACTCGAAAGAACATATTACAATAAAATAAAAAAAAATAAAAAAAAAATTCAAAATTTTACCCTCACTTTTAATTGTTTTCACTATAGTAAAGGTTCTATTGCTGTAGCCAATTGTCGAATAGATGGATTAGCAAATAAAAGACCAATGTTAATATCAGTGCGCAACTGTTACCGTATTAATGTAAGCGCTCGTATGGCATCTAGAGATGTTCCACTAAGTTGATTAAAGGGAACCTCAATATGAGGCGATTGAGTATGAAACGCTTGACTAAAAATATTTCGTACTTGCTGCTCTAGAGTCGTATGTGGTACATTATCAGTATGATTAACAGATGATGGTGAAAAGTCAGGTGAACGAAGAAATTCTCGATCTATTTTTCCATCTGCATCGAATGGTAGTTTATCAAGTATAATAAAGAGAGATGGAGTCATATGAGGTGACAAATGTGATTGACAGTGTTCCCGCAATACTTTTTCATCAATATCTTGAGGGTGTAGGTGTAAGTGTTGCGGTGGGTGTGGATGATACACTTCTCTTCACCCACACTCATGCCCACCCTCAAGATCGAGGATTTGGCATTAATTAACAAGATCAAATTAAGTGGTGTCGTATGAGACGGATTCTAGTAGTTGTTCGTAATAACACCTAATGCGTTTGAAACGCGTTTTCTTGTTGTTCGCTTCGATCTGGGTTCAGTATTGTTCAGAAATAGTCCAAATCATGCAAACGAGGTTTAAAGTGTTACAAAGACAAACAAACAATAACTTTAGATTTATGAACAAATGCACATAAATGGATCAAATCGAACAAGACAAAGTTCTTGATTGAATTCGATAGTTTTGTTGAATACTTCATACTTAATCGACATCAAACAACAATTACCAACGTTGATATTGACGCAAAGAAGAAATTGAAATGGTACTCCTTTGATCAGTATAAAAAAGAGGCGTTTGATAGATGATGTGTCACCCATTAGCAGTCGATAAATTAAAATGGTCAGAACATTTTGTAATTGCCGATTTTTTAAAGAAGTTTATGTGTAAACATGTTGTGAGTATTACAATCAGGCTAAACTAACGTAAGCCACAATCTGCTGCTAAGGATATTAGAATTGGTGAAAACGACATTATGATAGGCCACCAAATACCAAGAAAGCACTATTGATTCAATGATTATCTGTTACTTATCAATGTACTGTTTTACTGAAGTAAATTAAGATATACTGAACAAGAAAAAATTACTTACTCGGCGAAAAATAATTAAATACTGAGTTTTCTAGAATTGATTACTGTGCAATTCGAATTATATACTACGCAGAAAATAATAATTTACTGAGCAAAACATACTGAATATCAGATGGAAAAAATACTGAGCGTTCTCAATAAAATACTACAAAAATAGGCGCCTTTTTTAAGTTAAAATTTAATAATAAGAAGAAAGATAACGATACTATGAATACGTTAAAATCAGAATGAACAGTAATTCTTTAATATTAAGTGATACAGTGCAAGTATTTCACTTATTTTTATTTAATCTTGTTTATGGCGTTTCACAAGTGATAATACCGATATTTATTAGATTTTTAATAAGAATTAAAAATAACTCACAAAAAATAGGATAAATTAGAAGAAACAAACTAAAATGATTATTGTCTATTCAAGAAAGGTATATATTGATAATTTCAAAATAATACATTGAATAGCAAACAAAACTAAAATAAACTGAAAATTTTCTTTCTTTTTTTTGTAAGTTTCCTCTTTGTCGTTTATTTTAATAGACTCGATACATAGCTGCATATGTTGAGAATTTGCTTTTCATTAAATAACCAAGAGAAATGGCTATCCCCATACATTTGAAATAATTGGATATATTCATGATTCACTAGTGTGTCAAGATTATTAAATGATGTATTGGTATAGTATGAAAATAATTCTAACTGATCGTTCAATGTAAAGTTTTGATCCACCTTGTTAGCTTTAAATAATACAATATTTGTATTTCTGTTGGTTATATTTAATCCAAATGGTTCGTTGTCTATCGTCGGTAAATAATAGGTCATTGAATCGTTAACATATACTTTATGTATTTTGCCAATTTCAAAAGAAGCCTTGCTTACATTAAAGTATGAGTCGATCATAAAAATGTTACCAACTTTGTCGCCAGCATTAATCAATTGGCGAGAAACTTCAAACGATAAAATGCCGCCAAAACTCCAGCCTAGAAAGTTATATGGGCCGTCATGTTGGATTTCTTTTATATACTTTATGTATACAGGAGCTAATGTCTCGAACGAGAAGCCTTTTTCCATATTTTTTGCTTGAAGATCAAGATAATAATTATTGAATATTACCAGTTTATACTGCGATAAATGAGGAACAATGTTGTTGAAGTAACTTTCGGCACCGCCATCACCAGGCGGCAAAATGAACAAAATATTATCGCAACTTTCATTGATCACAACAAACGGATGCTCGAAAAAATTCGAAGTAATGTCTACAAGAGAAATCAGTGGGTTCATATATTTGATGAATGTTTCTTAATTTAAAGACGTTTTACCTTGATTGATATGTAGTGATTGCCAATGTGCAGTCTGTGTATCATTGGATATAAGTGTTTGAAGTAATTGTGAATGTTGATGAATAGTTGGTTGTTGAAGAAATGGAGCAATCGAGAGTGAATGAGCATCAAAGTTAAATACTGATTGATAATGATGATAAAGTTCAATAAATAATAGTGAATGACCACCAACGCTGAAAAAACTGGTAGTTCTAGGAATTTGATTTTCATTACAATGAAGAACTTGACACCAAATAGTGTGTATACGTTCTTCGAACTGATTAAGAGGAGTATCAGATTGATCAGACGATAACAAAGTCGATGATGAAAAGTCGGGTGAAGGAAGTTGTTTTCTGTCTACTTTTCCATTTTGATTGAGAGGTAATTTGTCAAGTATAATAAATATGGATGGTATCATATGTGGTGGAAGATGAGATTGACAATGTTCACGCAATTCCTGCTCACTAATGACAGAACTTTGAACATAGGCAACTAAATAATCATCATTCCATTTCATGACAACACAAGCGGAGATGGATATGATGTTAAGTAAACATTGTTCTATTTCACCAAGTTCAATTCGTTGTCCATGTAGTTTGATTTGATGATCTTTTCTTCCTTGATAATGAAGAAGACCATTGTTATTCATTGTAACAAGATCACCTGTTCGATAGAATAGTTGACCATCTATTTCAACAAGAGCTTTTTCAGTTAAGTCCACACGACCAAGATAACCAGCAAAGACACCTACTCCTCCTACAAACAGCTCACCTTCTTCGTCGATAACAGATGATTGTAAATATTGATTCATAATCATACATCGATAATTTGAAAGTGGTGTACCAATTGAAATGTTCTGTATACCATTTGTGGTGTTAATACGATGCCCTGTACAAGTTATAGTTGTTTCAGCTGGACCATACAAATTCCATATAATATAGTTCTCTATACCGAGTTTCACAATCAAATCAATTAAAGGAACAGAAAAAGGTCCACCTATAACAATGAACATATACTAAACAAAGGAATGAATTTCGTTTGGAAGTCACCTACCACCGCTGCAAAGTGATCGAAGATATTTCGCAGCATGTACTTTCTTGTTATGCTCGATAAAAATGAAAAAACTATGTAAGACACTTGGAACAGTGCTAAGATATGTGATCTGTTTTTGTTGTAAGACATTCGATAAATAATCAAAATCAGTCATTCCGCCTGGATGAAGCATAATCACTGTACAACCAACCAACAATGTACCAAGTATTTCTTGAACATGAATATCAAATGAACATCGTGTCATTTGTACAACTGTGTCATCTTTATTAAATGAGTCAATATAAGACAACGAATGGATACAATCAATAAAGTTCTTATGTCGAACTTGAACCTATGGAAGAACATGAAAATCAATCCAAAATTAGAAAATGAAGCGTCAACGAACCGCTTTGGGTGTTCCCGTTGAACCACTAGTGAAAATAATATAGGCCATCTCTTTGCCTTTTACTCCCACACTTGAAAAACAGTTCTTGTCCATGTCTCTGTCTATATAATGAACATTTAAAATTGACTCAATGTCAAGTGAAACATTGTCATGATCGAATTTGGTGTTAGTTAAATGATGAACAAGAACAAGACGGCTTTGAGTTTGTTGTGTGAGTGCATGTAAACGATTTTGTGGATCTCGAGGTGATAATGGGCAATAAACACCATCAGCCATCTCAATCGCCATTATACCAATCACCTAATCGAAATCAACTCCAATATCTTATCAATAGTTATTTCTCCTGATCAACTTACCATTGACAGACTTCGCTCAACACATTGACAAACTATTTCACCTGGAAACACATGATATTCATTAAGAAGAGTTAAAGATAAGACTTGAACATAGTATAAGAGTTCACAATATGTTAATGATTGTTCATCTAGTTCAACAGCTACTTTTTGTGGATGTTTCATTACTTGATATACAAACTCATGATGAATACAAGTGAGAGGAGATGGAAATGATATTTGTGTATTATTCAATGATTGCGTTAGATATTGTTCATTTGATAATGTTAATGATATTTCATAGATAGGTTTGTTTGTTGTACAGTCGAAAGATGTGAATTGTTCATATAACATTGTTTGTAATCTTTGTGAAATTGTGAAAACTGTTTCAGGAGTAAATAGATCAACGGAAGCATTAATGGTACATGAGAATTCATTTAGATTGAGATCATGTTGAAAACTAAGAATGAAATCAAATTTACTCATTATTTCATCATCGCTAATCTTGATTGAATAAGGTATTAAAGAGAATCGACTATCACCAATCATTATTTCATTCTTCTCATCTTTTGTCATAGATGATAGAAATTCAAATGATGTATCAAGAAATACAGGATTTGATATATTTGGATGTTGATTGAGAATACGTTGAAGAGGAAAATAAGAATACTTCATAAAATTTATCATATTATGTTGAACGCGCTTGGTAAATTTATGAAATGATAAATGAGGATCGAGTTGACATCGCAAAGGTATCGCATTCACAAACATTCCAATAATAGAGTTAAGTTCATCTCTATATCGACCATCTGTATTTATCCCAATGCATAAATCTTTTTCTCCGTTCGTTAGTTTGAATAAGAATACATAATAAGTAGCAAGTGCAAGTTCTTCAAGTGATATGCTATTTAATGATGCATGAATAAGAAAGTCATGTGAGAGATCTTGACCAAAATCAAATGAAATGGATGTTCCACGACCAGTTCGATGTTCATTAGAGAGACGATATCGATCAAATGGTAATGACAAAGGCTGATCAAGTTTACAATTATGAAGAGCATCAAGCCAAAACATACTTGCACCAGCCATTGACATTTGTTGTTCA